AGACTAATAAAAAACAACCTTACTTTTGATTCTAATGACAGTCCTATCCTTATTACCCTTTCTATCCAAATGGCGAAAGCGATTGTATATTACGATACTATTTCTCTTTATTATAAGAAAGTCATAATTACTTTAAGCCATTAGATATCAAATTGGATGGTTTGGGTTTTGGAATATCAATGAACCCGTCCAGATCCAGGACCCGACGAGTAGACCCGACCTCGGGTCTGGATTTGGCTCCAATAGGAGCCGACCCCTACCGGTAGTCATAATGTATATGATGGCAATAATGTATCTTTAGGCGCACTTTAGGTATTTATATTGTCACAATATTGGTAACATTCACAGTATTATTGGCAAAAAAAAAAAAAAAACTCATAGTCATATGGTATATGATGGTAAAATTAAAAAGTAAAAAAAAAAACTCATAGTTATAGGGTGGCAATGGATCCAACTAGACCTGAGACCCCAAGGGTCTGATATGGGTCCAAATTTTGAACCCGAATACTATTCAGATCTGGGTCCGGGTTAACCCGTTGCCACCCCTACTTGGGTGTATCACAGAGTTATAGAATTTTTATTTATTTATTTTTAACTTTTGGGTCTAGATACATTCAAAAACATATGATTTGAAATTTGATAGAGAAGAGTAGTTATGACCTCATTATATTAAAAATAAGTGGTCTCTTTTGTATGCGTGCTACTCGCAGTTCGCTAGCGACCGAAACGTCCCACAGTTACCGAACGTATTATGGCCGCAAGATCAAAAGTTACGCTAGAAAGATGAGACTAGAAATATCAACGGAGTGTGTTCCTCAGGAGCATACTATATATCTACTCTTTCAGGTAACAATTCTCTCAATCTGAACTTTGGAATCTAGTTTGAAATTGGATTTTAAGTTCCTAAACACTGTGATTTGATCATCTATTAATTAGTGGATTTTTTTATCAATTTTAAGGTTTAATCATTTTAGGTATATGCAGTGAATGTCTTTTTCTTTTTTTTGTGACATTGATTTATTTTTTATTTTTGCCGAGATTAATTTCTATATTTGGGGCATTATATCCCCGTATGTAGTGCATGAAACTCATCAAATGCCCGGTTCTACCCCAGGGAATGACTCTAGGATATATAATCTATTGACTTCGCACTTTGATCTTGCCATATGTAGATGATATTTCACAATTTCTATGGCGGAACAACCTTTACAAGTTTATTGGAATTTTTGCCTTAAATAAAACAACAAAAACAAAACATATAAAAGGCCTAATTTTTTAAAATAAAATCTTAAAATAATAAAAATGAATAAAGCCAATATTTTTTATAAAAAATCTCAAAATGGTGCAAATTATTCTTCAAAGACAAACATGTTCTCAGCTTCTCAAATGTCCCTCAATCTATAGCTGGCTGATTTTAAAACATTAATAACTATTGAAAATTTTTATATAAGCTGCCAACTTATGCTACTATAGGAATTGAGCTTCGGCTTGAGTGGTTTGCAATTAATATTCGGGAGCAATGCATCTCAATCCTGATTCCTATTGCTGTGTTACGAAAAAGAACAGAACATCAAAAAAAATTTAAGTATTTATAGATATGCTCGATCTGCATCATTTTTTTAAATTTAAGGCTCATAATTACAGGGTGCAATTGGCATACGAATGCATCCGTAGCTGTAGAGGTAAGGTGCACCTTCAAATTTTATCATGGTAAATAATTTTGATGTAAAATGTTCTTAGGATTATCTCAAAATCCATTTTTATATCTAATTATAAAATTTTAAATTTAAAAAAGGGTACGGTGTATATAGAGCCTAGGCTCTAAACAATTAAATTACCTTCAAATAGTGTCGAGAAATATGGTTTCAATACTGGAAAGTTTTGTGATAGCCTTAAGAAATATTTTCATATTTATTTATAAAATTGAAATATTAAAAAATAGTATAGATCGAGAGATTTATGAAAACTTGAAAATCTTGAAAATTAACGATTAAAAAATAAGTTGTAAAATATACTATTTCCAAAGCTTGAAATCCAATTTTTTTTTCTCATGTCCCTGTATCATATGATCAATTTGAGGATATTTGGTCCTCAAAACAACCTCTTGTATTGAATTTTTGAGGTAGGCTCTGATTTGATTGTTTAGAGCCTCGGCTCTATATAAATGTTTTCCTTAAAAAATGGTTAAAATCAAGTAGATCTATAAACATATCGAAATCTTGAAAATGGATTGTATAAATAATATATTGTAAAATACACTATTTTTTAGATTTAAAATCTTTTTATTTTTCACGATCGTACATCTAGATGTTGAAATGATCATTCAAATGGTTTTTCAACATTAAAATCACCTTTTTTTCTTATGGATTTTTTTTCGGTGCATCCGTAGTATGCATCCTTTTATAAACTTTTCCATAATTACAAGTAGTATTGGATTTCATATTCTGCGGGACGGTAGAGTAGGATTGATGGTGAGTGGAGGCTGGAAGGGGCATTTTCGTCAATCATAAAGGTAAGTTCTGAAAGAAAAGCAAGTAGAGAAGCACGCGACGCATGTGTATGTGTGTTTAATAAGGAAGGAAGGAAGGAAGGAAGGAAGGGTCAGTCTTTGGTGACTAGGTCAACGCGTACATCGCAACATACGCTTGCCTCCTCATTTCCCTCTAACCAACCAACCACATGAAATTGACACCCTTTTAGAGAGAGAAAGAGAGGATATTCGAAATCCTTTACTTTCTTTCTCCAACTTTTTCTATTAATCCTTGTCTATTTTTACTCTCTTTATTTTTATTCTCTTGCTCTTTTCTTTGAATCTCTATCTCCAATTTTGCATTTTCCTTTGATTATTTCTCAGTGTTTATTTTTTTTTATTCTTGGTCTCTTGCTTTTTTTTCTGAATCTCTATCTCCAATTTTGCATTTTCTTTTGATTATTTCTCAATGTTTATTTTTATTTATTTTTTTGGATTCTCTCTTTTATGCAAAGAGAGAATAAAACCAGAAAATTAACCATAAAAAAAAAAAAAAAGTTGAGAGAAAAATACCCTCTCAAAAGTATGAGAGGGAATCCACCCCCAAAACAATCTTTTTCAAGAGACTAATTTTTTAAATAAACTAAAATAATCTCTCATGTTACTAAAATAATCTCTCATATTCATGGGCTTCTAGCTTCTAGATAACCACGTTTCACTCTTATGTTTTATCAAAAATAAAATAAAAAAACCTCCTAAGTTGGTTATTGTTGATAAAGATAAACTCTCTTCTAAATTTACTCTTATCTTAATTATATCCCTCAAACTAATTAATCTAATTGATATAACATAAGCACAATCTAAATTTATGTCCTCCTCCTAATTATCCCTGTGTACTCTCTATTCTTATCAAAAGAACAAAGATTAAAATAATCTTCTTAAAAATCTCCAAAATATAACCCTAAATTAAAATAAGAATAAAAATTAAAATAATCCTTAATAATCTTTTTAAAAATCTCTAAAATATAATTCTGAATTAAAGTATATAAAAAAATCCAAATTAGGTCATTATATGACTGTATCAATCTTCTCTGGTTGGAAAAAACTCGAGGTCTGGTTAGAAAAAACTCGTAAGAGAAAACTCGTATTCAAGTTTTGAAGAAGATTAAGATGAGATCTACATCAAACTCGTATCTTTCTTTTGCCTGGTTGTGATAGTTCACATAATAAATCAAAATATGAAGAAAAAGGGATTAATGCAAATATTTCGAACTCAACCATCATTTCATCATTTATGGGCTTATGATTGATATTGTTATCATTTATAGGCTTGTGATTGACATTGTCCTCAGCATCCCATGTTTTTTTTGAGATAGGATTTTCCACATGATCCAACGCATTCTCTTCTTCAAGATAGGATTTTCTACATGATTTTTGACTCATGGACATGAAACTTGATCTCAAGAATATCATTTTTGATAGGAAAAAATGATCTCAGAAATATCGTTGTTGATAGAAACAAGATGAAAGTCACATCTTTCACCTTCATTGCCTTGATTTTCAACATTACTCTCCAAATTCCATTTACACTGAAGCTGAGCAAACTTCTACGTGAACTCTTCTACTCTATTAGCTAAAAGCATGAGTTTTTCTACTTTATCCACTAGAACTTTCTGAGTCAACAACTACAACTCTAATCTTTCTTTCAAAGGATCTTTCGAGAGTCAACAACTACAACTCTAATCTTTCTTTCGAGGGATCTTTCGAGAGATGCTTCTATGGTAACTTATTGATATAGGGAGAGAATAAAACCAAAAAATTGACAATAAAAAAAAAAAGTTGAGAAGGTTGAGATAGAAATACCCTATCTCAAAGATGTAAAAGTAGGTTGAGAATGTTGATCTGGAAGGGAATCCACCTCCCAAAACACCCCATCTCAAAGATGTGAAGGTAGGACCTCCCAAAACACCCCATCTCAAAGATGTGAAGGTAAGTTGAGAAGGTTTAGAGAAAAATACTCTCTCTTAAATATCTGTAAGGGAATCCACCCCCAAAACAATATCTTTCAATAGACCAATTTTTATTCAATTCATAGATTGAGTTACGGTGAAAGGAGATGTCCTTTAAAATAAACTAAAATAAAATAACTAATAAAAAACTTATCGCTACCTTATCCCTAAATCTTTTTAAAAATCCCCAAAAATATATCCCTCAATTAAAAAACGTATATCCCTCAATTAAAATAAGTGAAACGTAAAAAATGTAAATTAGGTGATTCCATGGATGAATCAGATTTCCTTTTGTTTCATTGTGTTTTTCAGTTATTACTTTTTGCTTTCTTCTTGTTTTTACACATGCTACCCTAACAAAGACGAGTTCAAGAGGAAAAAAAGAAAATCTCGTACTCCCCAAACTCGATACTTTGACTATCTTCTTCTTAGATTCATTTTTCCTTCACATTATTTTTAATTTTCTAATATCTGTGCTTCACCACTACTTCCAACCCCTTTCTGCTGAACTTCCTTCCCCCCCCCCCCCACAAAACCCACTTTTTATTGAAGGCCTTCCCCCTCTGTATCCTCGTCCCATTCTTCATCAGCAAAAACCTATATATTGCTTATTGGGTTTCCTCCTAATTTAGTAAATTTTCGTTTGATCCCACTCCCAAGAAAACCCACCTTTTGTTTATGGTATTTGGGATTCTATTTTGATCCCACCTCAAAGAAACCCATCATTTTTTTTATGGTTTCCCTGCAAATTTAGCAGGGAATTGGCAGCACCATGGGAGCTTGTCTTTGTTCCAGTAAGGTGAGTGGCGCTTCAAGCAACAACAACAACAGAGAAAGCAAGCATAATAATCAAAATCAACAAACCCGACATCAAAATCAAAATCAAAGTCATCAACAACTGCCACAACCAAAGGACAAAGGTCCTTCCAAGAGGCCATCATGCTTGATACCTTGTGGGAAAAGAACCAATTTTGGCTATGAGAGAGATTTTGATAAGAAGTATACAATTGGCAAACTGTTGGGTCATGGGCAATTTGGGTACACATTTGTTGCTACTAATAAGGCAAATGGTGATCGGGTCGCTGTTAAGAGGATCGAGAAGAACAAGGTATTTCCTGGCTTCCAGTTCTGCAATTTTTTTATCATTGATTTTGTTCTTTTTATTTGTGGAGATTAAATTGATGGATTTTGGTTGTTTGATACATCAAGGGAAAAAAAAGGAAATGTTTTCATTGCGTCTTTCTGGGTGGAATTAATTGATACTTTTTGGGATATTCATTGGTTTTGATTTGGTTCAGTTTTGGGATCGTCAACTCATCAAGTGGTTTGGGATCTCTTTTCTCTTCTTCTATTGTTCTGGATAATTGCAGTTTTATGGTTGATTGGTGGGTTGGGGGCATTTAGTTGCCGATTTCTGCACATTGATTTGATTGGATCTAAATTGCATCCAACCAATCTTGATTCCAATTGGAATTATTTAACCATAGTGTTTCCAATTTTGAATTGCCACTTTGTTTTTTGTGCATATGCTATGTGAATGCGGCTTATGCTTTTTGGGTTATTTTGCTCTCGAGATAATTTTGTGGTCTAATTCAAGTCTTGGAATAGGTTGACTGTATTGAACAGAAAATGAGTACAGAATGTGAGAGGAGAGGAGGGCAGGATACCCACAAATGGGTTCCACCCAAAAAATAAGCAACCTACAAATGGGCACTCTGTACAAAACCAATACAAAAACATACAAAAAACCAAGGTGTATCAAAAAAGCTTTACAATCCGTGATAGGGAGTCGAGCAAAGGTTCCCTAAGGGTTGCTCAAGAGGTAGCAGCTGTCTTTGCTATGGAATCAGCCTCACCATTTGCTTCTCTCCAAACTCTCCAAACGTGATTCGACAAGATTTAGATTCCTTGTGAGTTGACAGATTTCTTCGAATATGTTGTCAAGCCTATGATGTCAAGCCTCCTAGGGCAGGAGGGCAGAGGCCTCCCTCCGCAATTGTTGAATCAGAGACACCAATGGGAATAAGAAAGTAGCAAAGGGTAATGCTGTTGTGGTCACCGTAGAATGAGCCACCTATGCCTACATGGCCTGGGTTTCCGAGAGAACACGCATCAAAGTTAAGCTTGATGTGGCCTTCTACGGGTGGTCTCTCAGTCTAGATTGTCCAAAAGTTCATGACTTCGTGTTAATCTCATACCATTTTTAGCTTTTTTATTGTCCTGGTCGTAGGAATCAGGAGTTTTGGTAATATGATGAACCGTTCAAAAGTTCATGACTTCGTGCTAATCTCAGACCATTTTTAGCTTTTTTATTGTCCTGGTCTTAGGAATCAGGAGTTTAGGTGCTACTGTCATCAGTATAGATCGTTACACATACTAATAGATTGAATAGGCAGAGATAGATAGATAGATAGATAGATATACCTGCCAATTTTTCAGTGATATCACTGGGTGTTTTTGGGTGCCATGCCTACAATTAAATTAGCAAAAAGAATTAAATGAATTGAGAAAAGTGACATTGCTCTAAAAAACGTGGAGTAGATTTATACTTAATAAGAAACTGTTGGGGAATGAGTTTCAAGTCCAATGAGATAAGTGACATTGCTCTAGAAAACATGGAGTAGATTTATACATAATAACAAACTATTGGGGAATGAGTTTCAAGTCCAACTAATAAAATATTTGGAGAAATATCACAGTATGATCGTTGGCAACTTGTAATAGTTGGAAAGGTTTGAATGTTCGAGTTTGATTTGTGAAAAGGTTTTGTGGGTTGCTCTTGATCCTAGCTTGGAAGCAATGTGGGCCCCTTTGTTGTTTTATTTGAAGTATTGGTAAGGAGGTCCTCAAGAATTGTCATATGGGACCCATAAGTGAAAACACAGTCAATGTAGGTGTCCTTTTACTTGTGGATGGGGATGTTTTAGAGTAGAGAAGGATGATTGATTAATGCTGATACTGGTGGTTGGATCATTGGTTTTGAGGGTGCCAAGCTAAGATGTCCATATGTGAATACTGGCATTGAGAGTGACGATATGACTTGGCATTTCCTAAAATTCCAGGCATGGATACTGATAGGAGTATCCTATCTGGCACATTGTTACATATATCCAGTAGCTTGTATAATACATATGTATTTTCATCCTGCAAATTTGTATTTGTTAATGAATAATACATTGCTCATATGTATACATGATATCTTATGCACAATTTTGCATTATTGATATTAATATCAATATGTATATTTTACAAATATCCTAGGAGTACCTGTTGTATTATATTGACACCAAAACGTTAAGAGTAGACAAGTATCCATGCAGCATAGTTTCCAAGGTCCAGATTGCACATCTTTGATGGATCCATAACTCTAATTTAGGAGTACAATTCTAGTTTCCTAAAGAGGGGTTTTCGCTCCGGTGGCTGAATGTTGCATTTGAGATTAGGTGGGCAAATGGGTTTTGATTTTTTAATAGGAAGCTGTGAGGGTTGAGAATACGAGAACAGATGACAAGACCACTGGGTACTGAAGAAAGTTTTATGTTTTAAAAATTATCAAAATTTTGCAGATGAGGGTTGCATGTGGGTGGCCAAGAGATGACACGCAGTTCCTTTTTTTATTTTTTATTTTTTATTTTTTTCATCTTTTATGTTCTTAAGAACACCAAGAGAAATTTGGGAACAACGGGCTTTAGAAGAGTATAAGGGGAAAGTTCCACTTGAGAGATGGTAGAAGGCCTTTTGTGACCTATATAACAATGAATTATACCTTAATATTCAAAGTGGAGAAAGGCTGCTATTGTGTTATAGGTATAATTATATTGGGGTTTGAATTCATTATTTTCATATTTACCATTGAATTTTGTGGATGGATGGCATATGCATTCTTTATCAATTGGGCATGCAAAACCTTCTTAAATTTTTATGATTCTGTTGCTATGATTGTCAATGCAGCCTAAAGTCTGTATTCCTACTAAAGAAGACACTGCCTTCTGTTGCAGATGATCCTTCCTATTGCAGTTGAAGATGTCAAGCGGGAGGTCAAGATACTACAAGCTTTAACTGGCCATGAAAATGTTGTTCAATTCTACAATGCGTTTGAGGATGACTCTTATGTTTATATAGTAATGGAGTAAGTTTGCAATTGAAGACATATATATGAATATCTCATTTCCAAGGTTTCTTTTTTGCAGTTTCTTTTCCTTTGACCACCTAGCTTATTCTGCTGTTGGGTTGCAACTCTTTTTTCAGTGGGCTACTTTGGACTATTTTCACTGTAAAATTGTTTGGATAGCACGCGTGTTCCATTTGGTGACTTACATCTATGTCTTAAAGAGTCTGGAAATAATGATAATTTTGAAAAGGAGACGGCGTACGATGCTTTTTTTTGTTTTTTTTGGTGCTTTTTCGAATGAAAATTCATAAATATTTCTATTGGTGCTTTCCCAAATGAAACCTTATATTACCAGTGCATCATTTGCGATGGCATTAGCCAGACTTTGAGTGAAATTCTAGAAGCACTAGGTTGTGTTGATATGGTGAAAACGTTTAGTTGGATATCAAATTGTTTTGCAACTGACTTTAAGAGGGTTCACATTTAACTGTAACCTTGAGTTCAATGAATAGCTTTAGTCATTTCGTTGTGAATACTAAATAGTGTGTTTGCATAATTTGCTATTTAGCTCACTAAGTTGAGTTTAGTGATTTGTTACTTTTGATTACTAATGTTGGTTTTTGTCATATGCATTGCAGGTTATGTGAGGGTGGTGAACTACTTGATCGGATATTGTCCAAGTAAGATCATAGCACTAATTATTGACCTCTTTTATGCTGTATGATTTAGTCATACTCGGATGTTGACAGAATTGGCTTAAATTATTACAGATTGACAGCCTCAAAATGCAATAGGGATTTTAAATGTTTTGAAGTGAATTTTAAATAAAAATTTCGGTCGGATTACACTTAGCCCACTTGTTACACTTCTTATCTCTGGCCTTCAAAATTTCCAACGTTCTTTTTATGAACATGTTCTTGTTGATCAAATTGTGATTTGGAATTTTTTTGTTCTTGTTTATGAAATTTATGTTTGATACTGGAATCTTTGTTTACAACTCTCTGGTTTCTACTGTTATAAAATCTTGATATTATTTTCGTCATTTTGGTTTATCCTCTTCTAGGAAGGATAGCCGTTACACTGAAAAAGATGCGGCAATTGTTGTGCGACAAATGCTGAAAGTTGCGGCAGAATGCCATTTACATGGTTTGGTTCATCGAGATATGAAACCAGAGGTATGTTGAGGTCTCACCTTTATATTTTTGGGAGCATATGCCATAATTAAAATAGAATGGAAATAATCATACTTTAGTGGGGTCATCATTGCTCAATAGAATGATGGGCATTGATGGAGCAAGAGTGGGACTAACCAGAACAGGTCATGATACCAATGGTGGATCTCTTGTGCGCCAGTGTTATATGGATAGCGACGCATGTGTCAATATTTAGTACGTATTAGATTGTCTAGTACCCAAGGCCAAAATGCTAGTACTTCCCGTCTGTACATCCAATACTTTGAATAATATAAGCTGATATATAAATGTCCTACATAACTGTTACATCTAGTGCTTATCGTCTTTGTGGTAGCATGGGTACTTTGCTGGAATAGGGTCTCATGGGAGGTCACGTGATCAAACCTCACTGTCCTCCTTGTTGACTTCTTAATTAATATAGTATATAATCTTGTGTTATATATAAAATAGTGTTTACCTAGTGCAAAAACATCCAAGCGACTTTGTGGTACCGTGTGATCCAATGCACAAGCCATCCCTAGTTCAAACTGCAGAGTGGTGATAGTTTTTTATTTTGATAATATAAAAAGCTCAAAAACACAAAAAAAAAACTTCATTGACAGGAATCAAACTTGCAAGCACACAAGTCTCAATTGTTGCTCTATCAAAATGTGTTTAGAAAAGACTTCTATAAAATGCATTAATACGTTCTCAGAAAATGATGACATCATTAGCCACATACGGTGAATTGTCAATGGCATGTCTACAACTGTCGACACATGTCGATACATGATACCTGATATTTTTGAAGTGTCCAAGTAACACTGGATAAATAAAATAAAATCATCTTCCATTCCTCATATGCAACCGTTGTTCATTCATCATAAAATGATGAAGTCTGAAGACTGGCCATAGTGTGCTTTGCACCTTTTCCTATGTGTGCTGACATTGGTGGGTGAATTATAGCGAAGCATGTATGCAGGTTCTTTCTTCTCTTATTATTGGGAATGCATATGTATGTTTAATCCATTTTCAATTTTTTCCTTACAGAATTTTTTGTTCAAATCAACGAAAGAAGATTCACCCCTGAAAGCAACAGATTTTGGGTTATCAGATTTCATTAAGCCAGGTCAGAATTACGCTGTTCTCATAAAAATTTGGTGTGGTACTTATAGACATTCCCGATTCCTTGATTTGTTGAAGCCTTAATTTAGATTTTCTTTTTTTTTGTTTTTCTTTTTTTTTCCTCCTATCTTGGGAACATCTTGTTCTTTGCTTTTTGTTCATATAAACTGAACTTGAATTGGGGAAGTGCAGGGAAGAGATTCCAAGACATTGTTGGAAGTGCCTATTATGTTGCACCAGAGGTCCTAAAACGCAAGTCTGGGCCTGAATCCGATGTTTGGAGTATTGGAGTCATTACATACATTTTGCTTTGTGGAAGACGCCCCTTCTGGGATAAGACAGAGGATGGAATATTCAAAGAGGTAGCCATTCCTATGTCCTTTCCTTGGTTTGTGCCACATTTTTCTTAATTAATGGCCAAAAACTGACAATGACCAAAATTTCATGACATTAGTTAATATAATAAAAAAATGAATGGCAATTTTTCATTAATCAGTGTAGTAAATTATGATTGAAATAAGCATGAAGTTCTCTGTTAAAGCAGTTCTCCGTAGGCTGATTATATTGAGCTAAAGAGATGATGGATCTTCTATGTTATGAACATTTGAGATGCCTTTTATGTGTAATTCTTTTATCTCATATCCTCAAATACCACTGTCACTGATTGTCATAAACAGGTGTTACGAAACAAGCCTGACTTTCGCCGGAAGCCATGGCCAAGCATAAGTACCAGTGCTAAAGATTTTGTTAAGAAGTTATTAGTCAAAGATCCTCGTGCAAGACTCACTGCTGCCCAAGCCCTCTGTATGTATGGT